AGGTGGACCAGGACACAAGAGGACAGGTGGACCAGGACACAAGAGGACAGGTGGACCAGGACACAAGAGGACAGGTGCAGATGTCTCAGAGTTTAGAAAAACAGGGATCAGATCTGAGTCGATCTGAAAAACAAACATTATTTTATTTGTTGTTTTTTAATAAAAGTTATAAATTTCTGTTTGTTTGTTTGTTTGTTTGTTTGTTTGTTTGTTTGTTTGTTTGTTTGTTTGTTTGTTCAGCTCAGATGTTCGGTTGGTTCTGTCAGGTCACAGCTGGTTCTGACCCTGAAAGTTTCTGACTTTAGTTTTTTTTTTATTTTTAGTGAGAAAAAAAGTTSAAAATATTTCAAACTTACTCAGATCTCCTGAAGACCCCAAACCTGGTGTTTCCCGACCCACAATGAGCTCCCGAACCCCAACTTGGGAACCCCTGATCCTGATCAGCTGGAAAGGTTCTCAGTCTCGTGAGCCACCCTAAATCCTKGTCCAGGTCAGATTCTTAAACCGAAACAAACACAAAGTCAACTGTGGGTCTAAATCCGGACTTRGTGAGTTCGGAACCCGAGACTGAACCCACCTGGACCGGCTCACATCAGAGGACTCACCTGGAAACGTCCCGGTCTGGTTTCAGGTTTCAGGTCTGAGTTTTGTTTCGTGTTTTTGTGAAACAAAGCAGGTAGAGGGGGTGGAGCCTAACCAACAGGTGAACGCKCTAAGCCCCGCCCACATCCGTTAATAATGATGCAATTTATTTCCGGTTCATGGTCCACTGCTTCCTGGTTATTTTAATTTAACTACAAACTGATCTTATATCTTTTTTTTTTTATATAATTATTACATATTTTTTTAAACTGTTTTTAAATTTGCTGAATGTTGTTTATTTTTGCAGACGTTTAGGTAATTTTATTATCATTTTTTAAATCATTTTGTGGTAGATTGGAGTCTGTAAGGTAAATAATTTGGTATAGATATCAATTTAGTAAAATATTTTCTGGTTCACGCTGTTCATGACGGTGTTTCGTTTTAAAAAATCAGCTGCACTTTAGCTGTTAAGCAGCTTAAACTCTGCTGAAGTTTTCTGATGAAAACAGCTGTTTGTAGAAGCCAGTTTATTAAATTAAAGGGAAAAAAGAACTATAGTAACAATGATTTGACCTAATTATGAAATATTTAAGTTTTGAGTTTGTTTAAAAATCAACTTTAATGCGTCTAAAACAAATAAAAAATATAAAAGACCTGATGATCAGAACCACAACAGGAAACTGAAAATAAAAATCGTAAACATAAGGATTTATTGGACCACAATTTTAACAAATTCATAAACTAAAATCATTCCAACCTTTTTGTCTAAACTGTAATGACATTTTTAAATTATATTTAAATGATTTTGTTTTTATTTATTTGAATCAGAGGTCAAATTAAATTAAATCATTTAATAAAGTTATTAATCTATTAAGCTCTTTGAATCCTGACCCCCTCAGAGCAAGAGGACTAAAACCGATCCACTTGGTTCCACCCGACCCGGACTCCTGACCTGTGATAAAAYAAATGAAATCCAGCTGTTGGATCAAATCAGGTTTATTAATGTGTTCAGGAAATCCCCACAGAAACAGTTTACAGGGGAACAGATTTACAATCATTCTTGACAGAAGTGCCGGCTCAACCCCCCCATGGTTCAACACCTGCCGAGTCTCAGCAGACCGGTTCTCCTCCGCGGGTCCGGACCCGGGACTCGAGCCGGCCTCGAGCATTAACCTGCCGACACCTGGACCGCTCCTCCTTCGTGTTTTGGTGCCGTGAAAAAAAAAAAAACCCAACGGGCCGGATGCTCTCGGGTTTCAGAACCGTTTGACGAGGAAAACAACAAAAACTAAACTTCGGAACTGGTTCAGGACCTCTGAGGAACTGGTTCAGGTCCAGATGAAGACTCGTCACCGTGCTCAGACGCTTTTGGTTCAGTTGAAGTAGAAACTCTAAAACTACAGAAAAAAAAACATACATGTAGCATGTTTTAAACACGTGAAGCTGTGAATGTTCAGGGGGTTCCTGCTCTCTAAAAAGGGGCGGTCCCTATCCTCAGGGGGCGTGGCCTGTCAGAACGATTCTTTACATCAGAAATTCCAATTGACACCGGAAACTTTGTGGAACGACGAGCAGGTTTCTTAATTAGATTTTTTTTTTTTAGTGGTCGCTGGTTTGTGCTTCCTGCTCGTGTTGAGGGGGCGGGGCGAGGGGCGGGGTTAGTGTCCACCAGGGAGCCTTCCACAGAAATAATCTGTTATTTTACCAATAAGAAGAATAAAGCAAACAGCATGATTCTCAGAGGACAGAACGAACCAGGATGGGGTTTTATCTTGTTTTTTTTTTCTTTTTACTTTGACCTGATACAGGTTAAGATGTAATTAAATGAAACTTTTTACGGTGGGGGCAGAGTCAWATTTAAACAGGTGAACATCTACACGGGAAGGAGGGGGATATCTTTAGATTTACACTAAACGTGGGGGGCGGGGCAAAACACCCTTGCTCTTCCTTCGCCGTATGAAAAGCGCTCTTCCTCAGGAGGATGAGGAGGGGGGAGGGGGGGACAGAGAGACCGAGGCTGAGTTTGGTGGATGAGAAGGGGCTTGAAAACCAGACTGCTGATTCCACAGGTGTGTAAAAGGCACGCCAGGGTTCCTCCCAATCCCAGCCAACACACACACACGCACGCACGCACCCACCCACTGAACACACACACACGCAGCACAGGCTCGAGCCCTGACGAGGAGAGGAAGCAGGAGACGAAAGAAAGAGCCGGGGGGCTTCGATGTAGGGGGGGAGTCAGAGGGGCCTGGGTCCGGTGCTGCCGCTGTGTTGAAACAGAAGAAACAAACAAAACAAAATAAAAACAAAAACAAAAAGAGGTGGAATGGATCATTTCTGGTTCTTCAGCTGGTTGGAGAGCCAGTCCAGGCCCTCGTAGAGACCGTCCCCGCTGGTGGCACAGGTGGCCTGGATGTACCAGCTGCGCTGACGGAGGGCGTGCAGCCCCAGTTTGTCTGTGATCTCTGCGGCGTTCATGGCGTTCGGCAGATCCTGGAGGAAGAGGACATCAGCTGTGATGAAGGGCGCTTCCTCRGGTATTAAAAAAAATGACTGAACGCCACCTCACCTGTTTGTTTGCAAAAACGAGCAGCACGGCGTCTCTAAGTTCGTCCTCGGCGAGCATTCGGGACAGCTCCTCCCTCGCCTCGTTCACTCGCTCCCTGTCGTTACTGTCCACCACAAAAATAAGCCCTGAGGGAGGAAAACACACAAAACTGAGACGCTGAAGCTCTTCATCCTGTTTGTTCACTTCCTGTTTGAGTCTTGCAGGACACTGCGACCAGTTAAAAACCTCCAACAAACTCTGAACCAATCTGAGACCTGCACTGTTAGATGACTGAACTCCTGCAGGTTTCTGTAAGGAACAGCAGACATCAGACAGGCCCGGCAGCTGGCCTTTAGTTTGGGTCACGTGTTCTGATGAGTTCAGTTTCAGGAAGGGAGGAGTCCCTCAGCCCGTCCTCTGAGAGAACAACAATGCTGCTGTGAGTCATGGGCTTCGTTTGCTCCGGCRGGTCCACCTCTGGGTCCTCCCCCACGACAGACATGCTTTTAATACGAGTTTATTTTCCACTCCCTTCTTCCAAAAACAAACACTACTTTTTTTGTGTCATTAGATGTGTTTTTATAACCYGTCTATGTTGAGAGTTTATGAAGTTAGATGTAGTTTTGATGAATCAGCTGTTAGTCTTATGGTTCTCTGTAAAAGGAAACAATGTGTTTAATTTTTTTATGTTGAAATGATGTCATTCTTCTGGGTGTCGGTTTGATTTAACAGCTGTTTATTATTTATTTAGAGAGGATATATTTTGTTTTAACGTGGACCCCATGAAGAATATTCTCACCGAGTTGAGGACCAACGGGGATCTGTTTACATAAACAAAGAAACAAAAAGGTCCAACAGCACCGCGGCCGGCCCTCCTCACCTTGAGTGTTCTGGAAGTAGTGGCGCCACAGCGGCCTGATTTTGTCCTGACCGCCCACGTCCCACACCGTGAAGCTGATGTTCTTGTATTCTACCGTCTCCACGTTAAAACCTGCAGAGAGAAACTCAGCTGAGTCCTGAACACTGAAAYCTCCAGCAGACTTTAGACTAGTTTTGACTTTTATTACAGTAAATTTCAGACTTTATTTTCTTGTACAAACACCATTAAAAAAACCCAAATTGAGTTTTTCTGATATATTTATGATGTCAGAGCTGCAGAGCTCACATTCACGTCTATAAAACCTTCAGATGCAAACTGTAGTTTAGAGGTCAGATCAGCCTTAAAGCAGGTGGGAGAAGCTGATTAATGACAGTCAAGTCTTTTTACTCAAGTTTTTTTGTTTTCAAATTGGTACATTCGAAATATAAAACAATTGTACTTTTACTTTTTTACTTTCAAATTGAACACCTTGTTACACAATTTAAACAAGACAGAACTCATGAAGAGTTGTTTATGTAAATAAATGTAATAAATATAGTAAACGTAAAGCAGTTCAGTGGAACAGTTGCAGACTTGTAAAGTAACTAAGTACAAATAAGTAGAAATTTTGGTTATCTGTACTTTACTTGAGTAATTACTTTTCAGCGTACTTTTTACTTTTACAAAATTATCTGTACTTTCTACTCACTACATTTTTTTATAAAAGGTAAGAAGTAGAAAGTCATTAATCCTATTTTATTCCAAGTTATTACTTAAAAAAATACTATCCTGATAAATAGTGTCTCCTGGATAGAGTGAGTTTAATTATGGTTGGATGAGAAGTATAAATATTTACCATTCTGACCCCTATTAACTTGTACACAACCCATCACAGCTGCACGCTGTTAGAAAATATATTTTTTGGAGAAGTCACCTCCCAATAAATGTCATTTTGGAAAATCTTTTACTCAGTACTTTTACTTTTAATACTTAAGTAGATTTTGTGTCAGAAATTTACTTTTGATACTTAAGTACAAAATATTTCAGATACTTTAAGACTTTTACTCAAGTAATATTTTTAGAGAAGACTTTTACCAAAGTATTTTTATGATAAGATACTTGTACTTTTCCTCAAGTATCACTTTGAGGTACTTTATACAACACTGACCAGTTGACATAAATGGTTAAGTAAATTTAACACTTTTTTACTTAGAGTGTGTAAAAGTATGTTTAATTTGCCAATTATTATGAGCCGTTTTATGACTTTTACTTAAGTACTTTTATTATCAGTGCAATCATTTTTTAAGTAATTTTCATTTACTGTATTTTTATTTAGTTGTTTATTTCCCCAAGTACTTCCTACATCTGTCTGCAGCAGCAGAACCTTCAGCTCCAATCAGAACACAGAGATGGATCAGAAGACCCTGAATTACCGGTTTAAACCAGTGGTGTTCAGTCCTGGTCCTAGAGGACCACCAGCCTCCATGTTTTAGTTCCTGCTCTGCTCCAACACACCTGATCTAAATGAAYGAGTGATTAACAGACATCTGCAGAAATCGAAGAGGCAATTGAATCACTGAATCGTGTTGGAGCAAAGAAACAAGGAAAACATGTAGGACAGCAGCCCTAGTTTGACACCCCTAGTTCAGACAGTAAATACTTTAGACTTCAACTGTTTTGCTTAAAAATAAAAACTCAAATTCATGCATCACAACAGAATCGGTCCCAGTAAGAAAAAAACAGGACTTCATTTAAAGCTGAATCCATACCAATGGTGGGAATGGTGGTGACAATCTCTCCGAGCTTCAATTTATACAGGATAGTCGTTTTCCCAGCAGCATCCAGCCCCACCATCAGAATTCTCATCTCTTTTTTGCCAAACAGGCCTTTGAATAAACTGGCAAATACATTCCCCATGGTGACGAATCTGGAAGAGAAGACGAGAGAAGGAAGTTGAGACCGACATGTTTCTGTTTCAGTGTGACAGAAACCAATAAACAAATATTAAGACTACCAGAGAACATGCGTGTTTGTGATAAATGTAAAAAGTTTGCTTGTTTTAGTCGGATGTAGCATCACGTAACACAGGTTTAATGAAAATAACGAGCAACAGAAGCTTAAGGAACCAAATAATTAAATATTTACTCAGATGGGTTCTAGTTTCAAAGCGTAAAGCACAATTCGGTTGTAGACAACTAAACGTTGATGTTTGTTTTGGTAAGAATTTACATTTAAATCAACAGATTATTATTACTACTATAATTATTAATACAAACAAAACCTTGTAGACAAAAAAAAAACAAAAAAAAAAACAAGTTCTTTCCATTCAGACTAAACGCCATTCAGTAGCATAATAAATTAGTTTTGTTCTAAAATGTGTTTACCATTTAACATATGTCTGATTAGAGACGATGTCCATGAAATAAAACATACTAAGGTATATTTTAGTTTTAAATTTTGAGTCAAGGTTGGAGAAAACAGCTTAAAATTGACGTTTTATCTTTAGTTCTAAATAATTTTTCAATGTGTAACCTATATTAGTTAATGTACTTCTACCGATGTGTTTAATGTTAAATTATCACGTTATCTCCTGATTCAACTTTAGCCGGATTAGCCTAACAGCTAACCCCTAAAGAAAGGCCTTTCCCAGCTGGTAAAGTCTCCAGCACAAACACTGACAATAACTGGAATGATTTTCAATCTAATCAGCATTTGAGTCTATTTAAACAGGTAAAACGTAATAAAATATTTAACTTTTTAAAAAAAATTAAGTCGACGATTGACGGCTTTAGCTGTTAGCCGATGCTAAGAGCTGTTAGCCTCACTAAGGGCGGATGCTTCGATTARCTGCTAAGAAGCATCACACTCAATAAACTGTGGCTTCTACAACACGCAGGAGTTCGTTAGAGACACATCCAACACCAACCTAGTAATTCAAGCGTCAGGGGAACCGAAGCCCAGTTCGGTGGATTAAAACTCGCGGTGACAGATCTGAGAACAGCCGCTACCAGGAACTGTTTCGGCGAGCTAGTTTTGCCGTAAGCTAACTGCCGCGTCACTGTTCAGAGAACACCGTGACGTCACGCTAAACGCAACTCAAACCGAGCCATTTGAACGCAAAGACAACCGCCACACACGGCGCAACGTCGCGGCACGAAAATAAGCACGTTTTTTAGTGTTTCGTTACCTCTACAACGACAGCTTCTCGATCTTTCCGTTATCTTTCACTGCCACTCCAAAATGGCGTCTTGCGCAACCAGGGAGACACCGGCGTTCCGAGCGCTTCCCACTATCAAGCCGCGGCCAATCACAGCGCGTGTGGTGTAGCCGAGAGCCCGCCCCGGCTCTGCGGTAGACCAATCACAGGCGGTGGCACATCCGCGAGCGTGAACGGTGAACAAAATGTCGAGGAAGTGAGCCACAGAAGTTATTCAAGTTTCAGATAAACTGGAGAAGTTGACGAGATWGTATGGCAAGTCATTGTAACATATAATCAAAACCACTAAGTCCATGAAATAACAATAAAACACCATTTATTTCTGAAAATTTTAATAAAAATATAAAGAAAAAGCTTTATTATTAATATTGTTCTAGTTTTCTCAACAATTTAATTATATTTTAGAGAATACACTTTGTTTTTGTAATTCAACAGTGAATTAATGCAACTATAATGACAGCCGTCTATAGACCCTTTTCTCATATTTTAAAATGTATTATTCAAGGTATGCCCACTAATGTGGCTCATCCACTTTTAATAGGATTTAAAATAATTTATAGTTAAACCACGGTTTCAGTCTTAAAAACAGTTTCATGTATAAATATTAGCATTTCTTCTAGTCCAAAGAGATTAATCTAAGATATCTACAACAACATTCTCACTGGTCAACAAAATATTTCATCAATGTATCTTAAACAGAGAACAGGAAGGACTGAATTATTATTTGCYCTAAAGAGCCTGTCTAGTTATTAAATGATATATGGTCTTGCCATATAGAGCATCTGGAAACATACAGATGAAAAACTAACAACATATAAACAAACAAAAAGATGCAAAATGGTCATAAAACATTACAGCTAACATCAACAAGTAAAAAATGTATTTAAAAAATGACAAAGTATGACTTTAACACACATACAGCACACGGATCGAAGCACCAAATCAGAATTAAAACAGCTTTATAAAGATTATTAGTTCAAAGGATCCAGTGAAACATCTTCAGGAGTAAAAGGAGGTCCTACATGTTGTTCCTGAGAAAGTTTTTTTTTTTTTCATTGCTCCTGTTTTTACCGACTTGTCCTGAGAAAACCAGGAAGAGAGAGAAACCGGTTCATTCTCTGAGCTCCAGCTGTCCRTCTCTGACCCTCCACCTCCAGCGCTGACACCGGTCCGGAGCAGGGACGCAGAGGAACCACAAACCGGACCCCTGGATCTGCTCTTCGAACGACACCGTCTTCCTGTCCAGAGTCTCCAAGGTGAAGGATTTCCCTGACATCTGACAGAGAATCAGAACTGTAAAAGTCCTCCACGACTGATTAGTGTTTTCTGTCCACCCAATTCAAAATGGCCGCCAGAGCTACAAAAATGTCTGTAACTCTGTGATTTTCTAAGATAATGAGGTAAAACTGAGACATCAGTGGCTGTTCTGCAGATTAAAATGATTAAAATATTCATTCAAAGATAAATATTTTCATACCTGATCACTGATTCCTATGGCGACATGGCCCACCTTGACCCACCGGCGCTCTCGGATCCTCAGACACGCTCCCTGAACGTTCTCGATCCACACGTCAACACCTGGTGAAGAGACTTGTTTTATTCTGTAAATGCTCAGCAAACATTCACACTGAGATCGTTGTTTTTTTCTTCATTACGTTTTTATCATTCTGCAAAACGTTTGGTATTTGAGCAATTTATAGATATTTAAGATATTTAGCTTTTACCACTTCCTTAAAACCCTCAAAATGTTCAGAAATCTTTACTGTACTTTTTACCTTTTGTTCTGTTTTGTTTTTTTTACTTCTTTGTGCTGATTTCAGCTTCTGATTTTTTTGACTTTAGCTTTTTTTCTGCTTTTTTAGCTAGCATTCTGACCTTTTCTATTATTCTGCTCGTTTAAAATTTTTGTGTTTCTTTCTGCAAATTTAAGCTTTTTATGCATCTCTCAGCTGATTTCTGCTAATTCTAGATTTCATCTGTGTTTTTAGCTACTTTTTAGCTAATTTCATTTAATTTCGGCTTTGCTGACTTCATTGGTAAGAAGTTGAAATTATCACAAACATTTCAGCTACTTTTGTTTTTAGCTATTTTAGGCTAGTTTCAGCATTTTTAGCTACTGTATTTTAAAAGACATTGCAAGCACTTCTTTTCTTGTTTTGTTGCTCATGAAGGGGTCACCTCGAGTGAAGAAACAAGATTTACTGCCTTGAAGCAGGCCTCTGACAGGCCTGACGAGAGGACAGGAACTCTGTCACAAACTGAACTCTATTTAGGCCAGGACAGGTCATTCTAACCGTTGAAGAGAACCCCTCACTTCTCTTAATCAGATAATGGACAGAACAATCTCTTCTGTTCGTGATTCATTTGTTGTTTAAYTAAGAATGTTTATGCATTTGTTAAATCATGATAAHGACTGTCACAAGAAAAGTGGAACCACTTCTTTCCTCTTATCGTGCCTAAAAGATTAATAATGGTATAAAAATTTCACAGAGAAAATCATTACAATGTTTTCATTGTGGTTTTATGTAAATCACTGTTTTTATTTAACTGTGAACACAGTAATATAATTGTGGGTTTTTCTTGAGAAAATCTTTCATTTATCTGGACTAACAGAAGGTTCAGACTGATTATGAAACAGAAATGTTAATTAATCATCATAAATGTTTTGCAGTGATTTCTCTTAGAGTCTATCAGAAGAAAGCTGAAAAAAGGTTATCATCCTGTTGTGAACAGCCATAGAATTTTAGCCTTGAGCTGGCGCCGCTGGCAAATCTTTATCTTTCTTTCTCTGACTCATCTCTACGCCTGAGGGCGGAACCAAAGTTCGTCCATTTCTTTTACTAACCCAGACGGCTTTGAGGAAGGCACACTCTTCTTCCTGACTCCAACTAGGAAGACAGCTGAGTTTCTCTCCGGAGAAGCCAGTTTGGCTTGTTAGGTCTTAACCCACGAGCTAACTAGGGAAGACTTAACGGCCGGGGCCCGGCACGCCAACCGGCTGTCCCACCCGAGGCTTCAAGCCTCCAAGTGTGTTTTTACCTCCCGAGGGGAGATTTTATTTTGAAACAAGGAGCCGGATTTACAGTTGAATCTTTCTGGCTTGGACTGAAACAGACGAAAAGTTACCTGGAAAACACCTACTCGCCAAGGAACAGTAAGCAAGCTGATAAAAAGTTCCCTGACTGATCGGAGGTGAGACAGTTCCTACCCAGGGGTGACTCAAGAAGCCATCACCAGGTAAAACTGACGTGCTCGGGGTGATGTGTCATGTGGAAATCCTAGTGCAGAAGGGACGTGCTGATCCGGTTGAAACACACTTTGTTAAAGTAAAATTAGTAGAAATACTAACCTTACTTTCCTCCTTTTCTTGTTCTTATTTGCCAAAACTTAAGCTGAAAGTGCCAGTAAAATTGTTTGGTTGTTAACATCAGAACTGACGTTTTACTGTTCTATAKAAGTAACCTGAGTTGATGTGAACTGAAATTCGGATGCGGATTTTATATCATTTTAACTTTGACACTTTTTATAGGAATAACCACAATCAGGTGTACTTATGATCTGTTCAATTTGTGTAAATAAATGATTGCATAGTCTTTTATGAATGAACTTGAACTCATCTGAACGTTCACTTATTGTGTCACTTTTCACTTCGCACAGTCAAGATATTAAAAGTAATGAGAAATACCTTGGTAGAAGTTTCCTCATAACCTTGTGTATGAGAGATGTGGGAAAAGCTTAATTCACCTTAAGCCCCCTCCTACACTCGTTTGAAAATTTTCACTCATATTCCCCAGCCTGCCTGTTAATCTTAACTTGTTTCGTCTATTTTTGCTTTATTTTGCTAATTTTGCTATTTTTTACAGGTTTTTAACCTTTTTTTGCTATTTTTCTTCTGATTTTTCTCTTGTATTGTCCTACTATTAAGCCTTTTCAGCTACTTCAGCTGCAGTTTTCAGCTGCTGTTTTCATCATCAGGCATTCACACTGTTTTCACAGGAAACACTGTTTCTCTAGTTATAATTATCATCACAGCCACTCAGACGGCTCAGGAGTCAGGATTTTACCTTCCAGACAGTGCGAAGGCGTCTGATTGGCTGAAACCGTCCACTCCAGGTGAGCGCCTGACTGGCTGTTGCAGGAGGAGAAGACTCCGGAGCTCAGGTCGTCAGACGAGTGGTCCGAGTCCTTAAAGACAGGAGGAGAGTTTGGCTCGTCGAGGTTCAGGTTTTAGAAAAACAGGCGCCGTGTTTTCTTTACCGTCTCTGATTGGTCCATCTGTGACGAGTCGGAGCAGCTGAAGCAGGACGGGGGGTCGTCTCGAGGTTCTGGGGTCGGAGTCTGAAGCGTGGTGCCTTCAGGTACATCTGGAGAAAAAAAATGAAGAGTTTTTAATCAACTACAGTTACGTCTTGATTCTGAATGAAGGATTTAAAGCTGAGTTCTGTTGACTCACCGTCTCTGAGGTTCTCCAGTTCTGCGTCTGAACCCCATGAAGCCTGATCCATCTGTAAACCTTTCTGCAGAACAGGGAAAACACCTCTGAGAGCACGAAGATACTCTGTGGATCCCAATGAGTCCTCCTCCTCCTCCTCCCAGTCCCCCTCATAGTCATCAGTTTTCAGAGACTTGACCCAGTTCTGCTCCTCCTCGCCCATGTATATATCAACGTCTGACCCAGAGCTGGTGTCCCAGTCCGCCTCATCGATGTAATCCTCCCGAAGGGATCTGGGATGGGAGTCCCACTCCCCGTCTGCCTCAGAGTCCAGGTCTGAGGCGTCCCCATCACAGTCCTCGTCGTCCTCTTTCACCGCCAGTGTCCTCCAGGGGCTGACCCAGACCACATCTGGAGTTGAAGATGAGGACGATGATGATGATGAAGGTGTTGGATCAGAACCACGATCCAACACCTGACAGGCAGTTCTGATGGAAACTGGACTCAGACCTCCAACTGCAGAGAAAAGATTCACATGAGGGATGATAATCATCGCTGAGTCAGCATTTACAGTCACCCCAAAGAGGCTGTTCATTTATGCTGAGTCAGCATTTACACTGTCACCCCAAAGAGGCTGTTCATTTATGCTGAGTCAGCATTTACACTGTCAC